AGAGAGAGAGAGAGAGAGAGAGAGAGAGAGAGAGAGAGAGAGAGAAACGCGACTGACTTATCTCGCGTCGCGAATCTCCGGAGCAGACGTTCCCGTCGATTCGTCTAATGTATAGCCAAGACCAAACTTTTTCTCGCGTATCACGACGACCGCCGGTCGTCGGCGGAAGAGGCACTCCCGACGTCACGTTGAAGTGCGATAGAAGTGCATCGGTCACCACGGCGAAGGCGTAAATCAACTTTCTTGCGAATTGCCGGTCGAGGAAATTAATGGTTCTTTCTTTCCACGCAAGTATCGCATTGAATTTGGAGATACACCAAAAGCGGCTAAGAGAGCATCCATATCGTCCGCTATAAGAATCCTGTAGCCGACTGTGGAACGATGTAAACGATCTGAACGCCCGCTTTTTCGCCAGACGTTTCGCGGTAGAGGCTATGGATCATAGGGGCTGTCGAGAAACAAAATTCGCTTTTAGGATAAATCGGACGGACACGGAGAAATATAGTCGGGTCACGTATAAAACAACACGGGTTTCTGATACGCAGTCTTTCTCATTTATTTATTATTTCAATATAATCCTTGGCTTAGAATGCGATTTCTCATCATCCCTCTCTTGAAAGACGTCCCGCATCTCGCCTCTATAATTTTTATATACATTAGATTTGGTTTCTACGTTTTCCGGGTTTGAGCAGTTTTTATATACATCTCCTATTGCATCTTCCCTTCTTTACCTTTGCATTTTCTCTCTTTTTCTCATTAAACATCTTAATCATTACACTAACATAAAAATTAAAATAATTAAAAACATATAACGTTGTCGATCCAACTTATTGCCACTCATTGCACTTTCCTTAGTCCTATCTAATCTTTCTACCTACTTCTTTTTCCTTTTTCCTTTCGCAATTTAACGTTTTTATCATTTTTAATACTCGCAAAATTAAATAAAAACTCAATTTTAGCTATACTTTACTAAAAAATAGACTTTTAAAAAAAGGTGCGCTAAGTTCTCGAAGCGC